AAGCCGTTGCTGGGAGCGGGGGGGTACGGGGACATGCAGGGTGACGGGATGGTCTCGGGGGGCAGCAGCCCCGGGGGGCTCCCAGGGCTCGGCCACAGGTTGTTCTGCAGCTGAAATAACAAAAACCATAAAAAAACCACAAAGTGAGGGTGAGGACATCACGCCCCGCTTAGTTTCCTCCCCTTCTGCCTTAGATCCTGCTCCCCCACTTCAGGATTCCTCTTATCCCACCTATGATCCCTCTCAGCCCTGCTGGATCCCGCTCGTCCTTCCTCAGCTCCTCCTCATCCTCCCTTCCGATCTCCTCCACCCACAGGCTGCAAAGGGAGCGATGCCTTTGCTCCGTTTTCTGCCTTTGGGAGGGGTGGATTCCTGGTTGAAATATCCCCCCCGGGAGAGTTTGGCTTCAGGGATGGGCCTGAAGCTGAGTTTTAAATTATTTTTATGCTTTTCAGTATTGGGGGGGAGAAGAAGCGCAGCTGGATGAGAGAGAGAGCTAAAGGGGGCCTTCAGGAGGAACACCCCAAAACCTTCCCCGAGGGCGTGTTCCCTTGGGAAGTGGAGAGGGACACAAAGCAGATTCTTCCTGCGTGTGGCAAAATGTGACCCTCCCTCCTGCCTATCCCTAGGGGCAGGAATGGGTGATGGGGGGCACCGCAGGTGCGGTGGGACAGGACCCCTCCCCTGGCAGAGAGGGGCTGCAGCCGTCTCTCACCTCCTGGATTTTCCCGTAGCGTTCCCGTTTCCTCCACTTGGCCCGGCGGTTCTGGAACCAAACCTGGATGGAGGAGGGGGCTGAGCTGCGGGGACCCCTCCCCTGCAGTGCAGCCCCCTGCAGCAGCCCCAGGGGCCGAGCAGAGGAGGCTGCTCTGTGCTCAGCCTTGGAGCCCTGGCCTTTACCAGCAGCAGGAATATCTCATCCCGCACCAAAAACGATCCATCCTGCTCCTGCACGATCCCTTCCCTTGCCTGGAGCTTCTGGGACTTGTTTATCCCAGATTTTGCTGCAGAACGAGGCTTTTTGGGTGCAGATATCCCAGCTGCACATCCCCTGGGTGCTGGGGCGGGGGCAGCTCCAGCAGCCCCTCCCGGAGAGGAGGCTGCACTACCGGGATACTCGGCTTGCGGCTCTCGGGGCTCCGGGTGCTTTCATCTCAGCCCACCCCAAATCTGGGTTCGCAGGCTCCGGTGGGCCCCGGCTGGCTGCAGCTCGGGGGACCTTCCCTGCCTGTGCCTTGTCCCCATTCCTGCTCCTGGGGATGGCAGCTCCCAGCGGGCGCTCCCTGCTCGCTTCCTCACCCTCCACCTTCATTTCCTCCGTGCTGGGAGCCGCGAAGCGCACGGGGACACCTCTGGAAGCAGCTCCGTGCAAGCGCCATGAGCAGGGGGCAGGGGAGCGAGGATCGGTCTCATCCTGCCCCACGCCCCGGGATGTGCCGGGGTTGCTCCCCTGGGCTGGCAGCCGGAGGAGCTGAGCTGGGGAGGGTGGCTGGGAACGATGGATGCACGGTGCTCGCCCTTAGGGCGTTCTGAGGGGGGTGATTGGCGCTGACCTCACAAATTTTGGCTCTTCCCACCCTTTGGGTGCTTGTTCAGGGGGGAATGCAGAGGGTTCAGAGGCAACCGACAGCCCCACCACAGCAGTGGGTGCAGAGGACACACCTCAGGTTTTCCATCTGGGATTTAGCATATTCACGGGAAAACCAGCATCTGTCTCAGCATCCCTCGCAGAGAGGGGAATGTCCCCTCCTGGAGACCCCCAGGGTGCCCGTGCCCACCCCTCCGTGCCCATTACCTGCACCCTGGCTTCGGTCAGCTCCGTGCGCAGCGCCAGCTGCTCCCGGGCGTACACATCGGGATAATGCGTCTTCTGGAAAACCTTCTCCAGCTCCTCCAGCTGGAACGTGCTGAAGGTGGTCCTGTTCCTCCGCTTCTTGCTCTTGCCCAGGGGCTCGGGGAGCTCGGGGATCCCGTGGTCCCGGAGGCTGCCCAGGGGTGCCGCCAGTGGGCACCCCAAGTCCTCCGGGGCTTTCGGGGGCACCCTGCAGGCTGCGGGAATCGCCGGGAAGCCTTTGCAGCCCTTCTCACCTGCCGGGGGAGAGGCACAACACCAGGGGGTGTTAACAGCTCCAAGGAAAGGCAGAACTGCCCGTGCCACAGCCCTGGCATCCCATCCCATCCCTCATCCCATCCCTCATCCCATCCCTCATCCCATCCCTCATCCCATCCCTCATCCCATCCCATCCCTCATTCCATCCCATCCCATCCCTCATCCCATCTCCCATCCCATCTCTCATCCCTCATCCCTCATTCCATCCCACCCCATCCCTCATCCCATCCCTCATCCCATCCCATCCCGGGGGATGCCGAGGTACTGCCCCAGCGGGAAGGGCTCAGCATGGACACGCAGCAGGGCAAATCCAGCCCTGAGGAGAGCAAAATCCCTGCTCGCTGCGGGAGCTGCGGGCAGGGAAAGCTTCTGGAGGGTGGGGAAAGCCTGGCTGGAGCAGCGGGGGCTCCGGGGGGACAGAGGAGGTGGGCAGAGGGGGTTTTTGCAGAGTTTTGCTCCTCTCTCCTCATCCCTCTCCTCCCACTCCCTCCCCCCCCGGCTCAGAGCCCAGAACAGAGCCCACCAGTGACCCCCAAAGCACCCCGGCTCTGAGCCAGATCCAGCCCCCTGCACCCCAGATAGTTGATGGGGAGCTCTGAGCCAGCATTTGCCTGGAGCTGCAGCTCCCAGGAAAACACTTGGAAAGGAGTAAAAAATACCACTCTGCTTCTTTTGCTGAAGAACTCCCTCACCCTCCTCTGGGACCAGAGCAAGAAATCTGGGGGTTCCCCCTTCCCTTCGCATGGCTGGGGTGGATGATGGAAAGGGATCAAGGAGGAAAATCCCTGCCACACATTTTGGGGGCCACCTCTGTATCCCGGGGCGTTGTTTGTCCCTACGTGGGGCCACACAGAGCTTCGGCAGCTCCAAATGACTCCGGGTGCTCTTGGGACCCGCATGGGCTGAGCCAGGGAAAGGAGAAGTGAGCGGGGAATTAGCGGATGGGGAGGGGTCCCTTGGGGTCCCCCATCTGCTGAGGGGACAAACTAAAAATGCTGGGTTTGCCCTGATGCCGGCCCAGTGCCAGCTGCAGAGATTCGGGGTTTCTGCAGGTGGGCACCGCTGGCTCCCTCGGAGGGGCAGGAGGGGGAAATGCCTCCTTTGGGATGGATCTTCCTCCCCAGCACAGGGGGAAATGGGGTCCCCATCCCTGCAGACCCACCCGGGGCTCCGCACCCCCCAAACCAGCCCCCACCATGGCCTCTTCCGGCCTTTCGGTTTTGATTTTTGGTTGTTTTCTAATTAAGGCAATTTGGGGGCTATGGAGCCGCCAAGCCCAGATCCAGCTGCTTTGAGTTAATGAGAAATTGTAATTTGGGGGGATTGCTCCTCGTCCCTCTCAGTGCCGACCTGTCTGGTCATGGATAAAGGCAAAGGAATGAGGCCAAATTGTCGTTTCCTCCCTGCTCTGGCCTCCAAAGGGCTCAGCTGCTCGGCCAGAGGATTTTAATGATTCAAAACCAAATCTTATCAAAGAGCAGACCCAAATACAACCAAAATTAAGGTGAAAAATGATCAAAATAAAATCCTGCTGCATAAAGCATCGAGTTTGGGTTTTTTCCCCCCTTTTTTCAAGGGCAACGCGGAGCATTTCCGAGTGACCCGCGGGTTTTGGCGTTGGAGACAATAAATAAATATCCAGAAAGAAGGAAAAGGCAGGAAGGAGCGGGATACAGGCACGTAGCTAAATAAACACAGCACAGGGGGACAAAGGGAAGATACAGATATTTTTCTCCCACTCCTTCCTAAACTGACACCCCCCAAAAGATTTGGCGGCGCTGGGGAAGGCGGCAGCTGGGAAACAGCTGTACAATTCCTGGGATAATGGGGAGGGGAAGGAACTCAAAGAACCATTAGTGAAGGGATGGGGGCATGGAAAGGACTCCCAGGAACCGGGGGAAACACCCGTGGAACGGCAGCATCCCCCCGCCGCAGCGGGAACAGGTAAGAGCCGTGCGGGGACCCTCCCGGTGCTCCCTGACGGGTTTCCCGCAGTTCCCGGAGCTTTTTGTACCTGTTCCCCGAGGCGGCTTTGCCGGGTCCCACCTGGTTCCCATCGCCCCCGCGGCGCTGCCTTTTGCTTCTTATATTAAAGCAGAAGTGGGGTAATAATATTAAATGGAAAGTGGGAGTCCCGGAGGAGCTCCCGACGGGCCGGGCTGGGAAAGCGCAAAGGAACGGCGGGAGAGCCCCGGGAACGAGCCCGGGACATCCGGGCCAAGGGGAACCGGCTGCTCTGGAGCTCCGGACACGGGCACCGGGGAGCGCCGGGCACCGGGGAGCGCCGGGCACGGGCACCGGGGAGCGCCGGGCACC